TGGGATCGCCGCCCCTGACCACAGTGCATGAGTTGATAAATAATTAGGAACAATAGCCCATCAGTCATTTACAAAAGTCACACTCTTTTAGGCCTATATTAAAGAAAGAATAAAGCTATGCATAACAATACCAGTCCTTTCCAGTGCATTTTGCAACTTTTCGCTTTTGACCCTGCTCTTTATTCTGAGCTACTGCTCATTCCGTGCCTGTGAATAATACCAAATATGGTATCATTTAGAAACGTCTGTATAAAGCGCCCTATAAATGTAATTATTATTATTATTATTATTAAACACAATAATAATAATACTATTTAGCTTTTATACAGCGCTTAATACAAATGTCTCTAAGCGCTTTACAAATATACTATTACCCCGATCATTGGATTCAGTGTTTGCCCGCACACACTGTGCACAATATCCACTCCCTGGGGAGCATTCCAGCCAGGCATTACTTGACGCTCAAAAACTGTTTGACCAACAATGACGTTCGCATCCTACCGGGTACCCATTTAACACCTGGATGGAGAGTAGCAAGTGCAGGTTAACATGTTGCCAAAGGACAATCTCTAGTAAAACTAAATACAGCCATGATTATGCCATGACAAGGAAAATATAATGGCCGATCAAAGTTGAGTTTCCAAACTTTTTTGAGGGATATAGTTACATAGAAAGGACGAGAAAGATAATTGCATGTTATTCAGTTTTTGTGTGTGTAGGATTACCAAACATCAGAATATCTTTGTTTGAAAAAGAAGAATTGGCCTTTCTAGGGTTTAAGTTATTCTCCCCTTAAAAGTGGATTATATTTCTGTATTAACCCAATACAATGAAAAGCAAGCTCAGTTTGGGAACAGAAAGGAGTAACAGAATTTAATGCTCTGCGCCTACGAACAAATTGAACTTTAATTCTAAAAATCAATTTGCAGCGCCTTGCCATCTGAAATACACGACCTTTCCATCGCCGATAACTGCGTTTCCAAGGTAATAAGCTTCATACAGTCGAATTTCCTTTCATGGCTGGCAGGAGGGGGATTCTGTCATTGGAGAAAAGAGAGGGTTTTGAAAATGGAAAATTGGAGACGTTGAACATTCTTCTTTTTCTGACATTGGTCGCAAGTTTAAAGTATCAAATTGTAATCATGTTCTAAAGTTGAATGAAAATCGAGTAAATGTTGTTAATATTTTGAAGGGGAATAGAAAAAAAACAAATGTTTCACAATTTTTTTGTCTCCACTTCGACAGAAAACATGATATTGGGATTGAAAATTTGTGTTTGTTTGTTTGTTTTTATATTGTATTTGTTTGATTGTTTTTTTCGTTGTCGTCGTCGTTTGTGTTGTCGTTGTTTGTAATTTATTGCTATGTACTATTCTCAAAGGGATAGGCTTACCAACATACACATGGACGTTGAAATACTGGACATTAAACCGATTGGAAGGGAAACTGCAATACCGTGTCCAAACCGGATACATTTGTAATATTATCTGCAATTGTTGTTTTGTTCGATTGCTAAAATTACAAGTACGAAAATGAAATATTTATTTGTAATTATTTTTTGTAGAAAAACTTAGAGGCCTCAATCCTCCTCTTTTACAAAGGAAATTTAGTTTAGCTAATGGTTTATAACTCGCTGAAATTAAGACGATGTAGGTTTAATCCATGTTTTAAGCGGGACTGCACTACTTGCAGCTACTTGCGCCCTCTATATAGCCAACAATACCTATTAGCGGTACCCGTTGATCCACCATGGTCCCCTTTTTCTTATGTTAATTGAGAGCTGATTGATGAGATAATCATATATCAGTGACCACACAGGGTTGGTCTAATTCCTTGGCCAAACTAGTGCAGAAAGACTTTAAACCGTGGCTTAAACTAAATTCTTCGTGAATGTGATTTCATGTAGCCATGCAATTTATCGGCTTGGGACATTTCCTCATTTGAACTTGCACTCAATCTCTCTCTCTCTCTCTCTCTCTCTCCATCTCTCTCCTACCACGCACACACAACCACGCACATGCCCCCCTCTCTCTCTCTCTCTCTCTCTATCTATCTCTCTCGACTCTTTCATTTTCTTTCTTTCTTTCTTCTCTCTCTCTCTCCCCCTAACACACTTCCACATACAAACCAACTCACCTTTTCTCTCTCCCTCCCCATCTTGGTTACTACCACCACCTCCCCACCCTCTCTCTCTCTCTCTCTCTCTTTCTCCCTGTCTCTCCCTCTCCATCGATGAATGTTTTTATAATTTCGGGCGCTTTCCAGTTGAATGTGTCTTCCATCAGTTGCAACGCTGGCATCTTCTGGATGGTGTAGTTCGAAGAATATTAAATCAGTCGACTAATAGAACATATGAACATTGTTTACACGCATGGACATTACCATGGTGTACTTGTGCCCCGTTGCTATCTCAACAAAAACATCTCTCAGGACACCCTACTGCAATATCAAGAACTTACTCAGCTCCTTTAAAGTTTTACACCTTTATAGTATTACTCTCACATACAGACATCTACGGAGTTTCGGGGTGGGGCACAGGACACGTGCCCCCCCCCCCTAATCGAATGGCAAAACAACAAATAAGAGGTGACAACGAAAGTAGAGATAAAGAAAAGGGGAAAAAGAACGTGAGAAGATATAAGGAGATAGATTGATCGAAAATGCTTTTCAAATAATGTAATTCGGTACCGCATGACAACGTGATATGTCTTTAATGAAAGATTTTATTTGATGAGACAAGACATGTAAAACAATGAGATTCCCAAACGAGGAAGGGGCATTCTCTATTATGATTAACATCATCATCACTATCATTATTACTTGAACTATTATTTCATTTGATAGCGCCCCAATATCGTCATTATTCGGGCAACATGGCACCGGAATATAACCTTATTTGTTGTATTTTAGTATCGAAATGAAATTTAGACCACAACAAAGGGTTTGTCTCCCTCATTCGTTTCACCGTTCGCTCAATTAGTAAATTGGGATGATTCCTGGCAACAAGATGACCCAATATATAATTTCACAGTTAATCTAGTGTGTACTGATGACTAAATGATATTCTGAGATAATAAAAGTGTCATTTGGGGGGTCCGGATAATTTCCCTCATGCGAATATGAGCCCATACGTGTACGAGGGATAGGAAACAAAATCCTCTTTTATGATTTTTGGATTGGGGCGAAGCAGTACTTTTTAACTCCTTAAAGGGTGTGATGACTACAAAAAATATGTTTGATTAACACTGATCTATAGACCTAAGACTGGTTCCCCCCCCCCCCCCCCCCCAGCATGACTGAGCCCACGCTTCGCCACTGTTTAAACGGGTAGCGAGAAGGCGACTTGATTGACTCGACAATGTGCCTTGTTAAGGCCAAGAAGGTTAGAAGGTGACTTGTTTAAACCATGGAGTTACTAGCCATGTTTAAATTCGCCATGGCTCCATGTATAAGACGAGAATGCAACAAAGATAACTTGTTTATGGCATTAAAGGTAATACAAAGTTTTGGGAAATTTTGGAAATTGGGTGGATATTGAATCTTTACAATTTTGATATATTTGGATGCCCCTGTGGATGTATTATAAGCACTAAAAAAATCAACCCCTAAAACACTTCTGTTTTTGAGAAAAATTGAATATAAAAATTTACCGGTGCTCCCGGTAAATTTTGATAAATTTCAAATAGCGTCTACGGCCGTACAATGGTAGCTGCGACCATGAAAATCTCAGAATATGTAGTTGTGATATATAATTTCCAAACGGGAATAGCTAATCGGTCGATTTTAGTCAAGAAACATTGTTTCATAAATAAATTGGTATCTTGACCTTGCGGAGAGGGAGCTATACAACATAAAGGGTTTATTATTTATAATTTCATAACTTTAGACTCGATTTCAACCGGGACAACGATCAATATTGGCGAGTTGTTAAACCTGACACGGCACCTAGTTTGTATAGCGAGAAGGCGACTTGTTAAATTTCGCCAAGCAAGACGAGAAGGCGGAGTGTTAAAGGGCAATCCAACCCTTGTAATCCGTTGATGCCGTGTACACAAATATCATTAATTCATGTTCCTTCTACCTTGGGACACTACTCAAAATATATTATAGATATTATAGGTCCTCTAAACAGAATAGACCCTCCTGAGCAATGAATTTTTTTTTAAATTCTTAATTTTAGTCATTTTATATGTTGGAACAGATGGGGAAGTAGTCCGACCGTCATTACATCATATTATTACCGCTTATGCAGCCAATTTGAAGTGCCCACACCTATGGTGATTACAACTTTCAAACATTCATAACTTTCTCATATTTAGTCAGATTTCAAAGAAACTTCAGTTTGCTTCTCTGATTTTTTTTTGCTTTCGTTTAGAGTGGTTGTCTTTTTGGGGTTGGATTTCCCTGCTCACCAAGTAGCATTCACGTCTTCAAAGGCGAGTTAAACAAGACAGTCGCCTTCTCGCTGCACGTTTAAAGTTTCGGTACATTAAAGAAAAGGTTGAGTTCTGGGAAGAGGTGAACAATAATTTGTGAGCATTTTGATTGTATTATGCAAGTGTGGAAGAACATTAGATACAAAAAGGTTCCCTGGAAAGCATGGCTCTTAAAAGATTAATGTCTCAATATTCTAAATATGGCATGTAACATCATACAAATCGGGACGGACTTTTATGCCACATGTTCGTGTAGTCCCACATATTTATTTCTGTGTACAGTGCTTGTAACTTTACCAGGACTGGGATAAATATCTTATCATTTTGATGTTTCCAGAGCCTTGCAGTCACAACAATTATGCTAGATGATCAACCCTTTTCTGATCGATTCCACATCGTTTCATTAACAATGCAATGGCATGACCAGAACTCAACTTTATCTTTAACTCAACTAGAAACGTGCGCGTTACACCGTTGATATATCATGTGATAGTAATGTCAAGTGTGCACATGCATGCGTGCGTAACGAAGCTAGATGTAAGATCAAATGTGTGCTCGCATGAGATGTGATTCAATAGTCTGAAAGTACGCGGAAACCCTTCATCAAATTGCATCGGTCTCGCGATTTTATTTTGAGCGATACAATTGTCATTGACAAGAACACATCGGAATGATTTTGTGGTATTCATCGCTGTGTTTTGATTATATTCAGGCCTTCGTAATGCAAGCAGGTACTGTTACATGGGATCTGGAAGAGAGCCTTCGGTAACTATAAGAGATTTGCTAATGAAGTCTGCATGCAGCCCATCGCTCGTTACTAAGATACAAAATGAATTACTTCGAAGATTCTTGAATAACCAACCCTGACTCGCTTTCCATAGCAACATGTTTATTTGCAGAGTGAGTTCAATTACATTTTCTTCATTATCTTGTATTCTTCTTATTTTCTTTAAATCATGAGCACGAATTCTTTTTCTACACCATAAAGTTTTTATAAGTAAAGGATGGAGGGTCAGATCCGATTCATCATAATATTAATACAAGTTATTTTATCAATGTTTATATGTTATATTAGACAATATATTCTAATCAAATTTACACAACGCACAAATCGCATCCAAAACTTCATAAGCTCATCATGCATTTAAAAACATAGCTATTTAGTGGAACTCACAAAATCAAATGCAACTCCTGAATCCAATGGAGTTGTTTAAAAGTTGTAGTATTTGATCGAGAAAATGGGCTCAGTCAAGATCAAACTAATCTAGAAATATTATCAACACAAAACATGTTCACATTTTGATTAATTTGAGTAATGAAGATAACATATCGACATCATATTATGACGCAGTTTAAATCCCCACTGTACTACGTGTAGCCACTTGCTCCCTCTAGTTGAGTCTCTGCCCTTTCATATGACACCTCAGTCATGAAAAATAAGCTAGGAATAACAAAGTTCTGTTTGTTTAAAGTAGTGATTGCATTTCCATAATTTTATTAACTCAACTTTCTAGAAATGTGATTTTCTCTTTGAAATTTAGATACCGTCCGCCAAATGACTTTTTGGTTTCCTCTCTTCAAATTCATTTTAATCACTAATGCATGAAATATGCATCATATGAGTTGCATCAGATGAAAGAAGAGGATCTAAACTTTCCAAATATGTGTCATTTATTAATTATAACTATGACTAAATTATGATAAAACATCGATTATTCTCGGTTTCGTTTTTTCCGGGACGCACTGTATGGAAAACTTCCCCAATCGGTGCCTGTAGGTCCCCCATGAACCTCTTTTTCTTATGTTAATTGAGAGCTGAGTTGATGAGATAGCCACCTGTCAGTGACCTCGCTGGGTGGTCTAATCCTTTCTGGCCGAATTAGTACAGACGGCCTTTAAGTGAATACATGAAAATGAAATATTTATGATTTTGGTTTTATTACTTTATTGATTTCACATTCTATTATATCTATCTAATATATTTTTTCATTTTTGACTTCCAGATACTTTATAGCATTGTAATGTTTCCAATTTCATTAGATTATGATAATAATTAACACGTTTAATTCTTTATAACATTACCATGTTCATTTTTTAAAAATCTCTTCATACGACATCATTAACTTCACGTATAATCACTCTATAACTTCATTCCGTGTTCGTGTTACTATCAGGACAAACACAATAGTATATTCTTTCAAGAAGTCGACTTGAGGCAATTGTAATGCCTTACTGTACTACCTGTATGAATCACTCTAAACGTTCTTTCTTTCATTGTATCTTATTTCTCTCTTTATCCCTTATCCCTTGCCCTTGATCATGTTCTCCTTCGAGCTTTACTTTTAACAACATTAATGTGTTTATTGAAGGAACAAACAATTGACTGGTGATACAGATTAAAACAAGGAACAAGTTTTATCGGTTGGTTTGTTACCCGAGTAACCATGAACACACCGTCTGCATGATATGTTGGTTATTGGTTCTCTCTGCAAACATAGCTGAGCGATGATAACCATGCAGATTCGATGGTAGTCATGTACCCGAATTATAGAAGAGTCTTTGCGAGTGTGGTAGTACCTGCGCTTATTGAAGCCTGTTTGTGAAGGCAATTAACCCATATACGCCAGTTATCAAAAGGATTGTAAGGTTAGAACTAGTGTACATGGTTAGAACTATTAATTTGGCAATCACTTGTTGTACGATGTCAGTCTTACATGGCTTGTTGAAGCCCTCACCAGACGCTGACGTACGTTGCCCTACGTCAGGCAAATGACGCCTTGTTTTCGTACACGTCACGAGGCGTCATTTCGGTTGCGTTATGAATTATCAAATCGGGTCATTGTCGCCGTAAATATCCAGCAATTTGACAATTAGAGACTATATCACGACTGTACTGCGATGCTTCTACTTCAAAAGCGCTGCTGACTAACTGCCCCTACGATTACACCTAGACCAATGCCGACCAAGCTGTCATTTTTACTACGATTGCCGTTATACGACGTACATGACCATACTACGTTTCTCGTACGATTTGTGACGATGTATATATACATCTGGGGTGTTCAATCATTTCCTCAGTTATTTACCAACTTCGAAGGTGAACGACCTGATGCTGATTATCGTAATTAAAACGGATCGAAGTAGTTGCCGACGGTGCTGCGTTTTGATTACGACCACAGAGATATCCCCACAATGCTACCACGCTGCTTGTACGATAATGGCGTTCCGACTACGTTCTTAAGACTTTGCCCCGCTTTTAGTTGACCACGACCCGGCTATACGCTTATTTGTGCACGTGAGCGTAGAGAGAGCATGCAGCTTCCCCACCTAGGATCTCCTAGGTGGGGAAGCTGCACCCCAACCAAACTGCGCTCGTGGAGATCCCCCCCCCCCCCCCCAGACGTTTGGCCCACGATTGGCCCCGATTGGCCACGCTCTCGGCCACTTTTTCAATCGTAGTAGAAGAGGCGTCTATGTGTGAACGGGGTATTAGCGACAGGAAATGGAACTAGGATTGAGTGTAGAAAAACTGCTAATAAATATGCTTAACAATTTCGATAGAAAATAGCTTCAAAGAAAGAACGTAGATTGATGTTAAAGTCGAGAGCAAGATGCATAACATGTGGTTTCATAATTGTATTATGTGCTTTCCGGCAGTATCAAAAATTGAGTAGGATTTCCGGCAATTTTGTTGTTGTTGTTGTTGTTCATAGCTTATACCCGGGCCTCATCGACAACTCCCACACCTCACCGACAACAGCCAAGAAAAAAAAATACATTACCTCGAATGAGCAAGAATTAGTTTGGTTTATAATCGATGGCGTTTATCGGGGTTTGACTGCATGAGGTATTACCGGGTAATCGCTGATCTAAACATTTTACCTACCACATGAAGAAAAGAAATTCTCGAAATGGAATCTAATGCTAAAATGAAAGACTTTGCTTGACATCCAATATTTTATTTCTTTGTGGCTTAATTCCATAGTTTGAGAATATACCTAACCAAGGAAGTAGCTTTCTAGTTTGTTACCATACTTTAAAATATGAAGTATTCTGTGTTATTCTCAAATTTAAATGTACTCTGTAAACTTATTTGATTTCGTAGACACTTATCAATATTCGTTACTTATATAATTCTTTTGTTCTATTATATATTGTAATTCTGTATGGTCTATATATATTAATTTTTATTTTGGATACTTGAGTGGAAAAATGAATAAATCAAATCAAATCAAATCAAAATGAGTTGTTGATTGTAAATATGAGCTTACCTTTTTTGCCAAAATTTGTTGAAAATCACATGCACGTGTAGTTTGCTACAATTTTATGTTTTTTTCATGATCATAAATCTAAACTACCTTCCTAAACTCATCTTTCTGTGCATGATATCAAAGTTGTTGCTTTATCTAAAGTATCTTAAATTCTTTGAAAATGTGACAAAATCAGTGATAATTTTAAAAGAAAATGGCGTTCTTTCAATCTTACTGTTGGCCTAGAATACAGATTTTTTTAAAGATGATATTTGTTTTGTTTTGTTGTCCCTAGTATTCAGGTGTTTACTTTACACAATTTCCCACCGATTATTTGAAAATTTGATGCATTATTCTGCTGATTTGAAAAGTGTTGATTGATTTATTTGATTTAACACTTGTCAGATGGAACAACCTTATCAGCACGAGTGAGTGATGTTTATCATAGGGCTCAACATTTCAAACATTACAATCACACATAAAGGAAAGATACAACCTTATCAGCACGAGTGAGTGATGTTTTCATAGGGTCAACATTTCAAACGTTACAAGCACACATAAAGGAAAGATACAACCTTATCAGCACGAGTGAGTGATGTTTTCATAGGGTCAACATTTCAAACATTACAATCACACATAAAGGAAAGATACAACCTTATCAGCACGAGTGAGTGCTTTTTATCATAGGGCTCAACATTTCAAACGTTACAATCACACATAAAGGAAAGTTATCAACACGAGTGAGTGATGTTTTTATAGGGCTCAACATTTCAAACGTTACAATCACACATAAAGGAAAGACACAACCTTATCAGCACGAGTGAGTGCTGTTTATCATAGGGCTCAACATTTCAAACGTTACAATCACACATAAAGGAAAGATACAACCTTATCAGCACGAGTGAGTGATGTTTATCATAGGGCTCAACATTTCAAACGTTACAATCACACATAAAGGAAAGATACAACCTTATCAGCACGAGTGAGTGATGTTTCCATAGGGCTCAACATTTCAAACGTTACAAGCACACATAAAGGAAAGATACAACCTTATCAACACGAGTGAGTGACGTTTCCATAGGGCTCAACATTTAAACGTTACAATCACACATAAAGGAAAGATACAACCTTATCAGCACGAGTGAGTGCTGTTTATCATAGGGCTCAACATTTCAAACGTTACAATCACACATAAAGGACAGATACAACCTCATCAGCACGAGTGAGTGATGTTTTTATAGGGCTCAACATTTAAACGTTACAATCACACATAAAGGAAAGATACAACCTAATCAGCACGAGTGAGTGCTGTTTTTATAGGGCTCAACATTTCAAACGTTACAATCACACATAAAGGAAAGATACAACCTTAACAGCACGAGTGAGTGATGTTTATCATAGGGCTCAACATTTCAAACGTTACAATCACACATAAAGGAAAGATACAACCTTATCAGCACGAGTGAGTGATGTTTTCATAGGGCTCAACATTTAAACGTTACAAGCACACATAAAGGAAAGATACAACCTTATCAGCACGAGTGAGTGATGTTTTCATAGGGTCAACATTTCTAACGTTACAAGCACACATAAAGGAAAGATACAACCTTATCAGCACGAGTGAGTGATGTTTTCATAGGGTCAACATTT